TAAGCTTTTGACAAAACATGTGCTTTAAAGTGGGCAAAAAATACTATCAAATACTGGACGTAATTTATGGATACAATTGTTACCCGGCTTGATTCAACTTGGCTTAAATTAAATGCTGCGGTAATATCGATAAAGTAGTCGTTTAAGAAGTCCAACACATACCGTATATATACATGTAGATTGACTTTTGATCAAGTTTGAGTTGATCGCAAAGGCATTGAATTTTTAATTCATGGCAAACACTTGTTTATACAGTAATTTTATTATTATATTCTCATTGCATATTCATTAATATTAAGAACTCGTCACTCAATTAATAATATTGTTTTTTGACATCATTCAATTTCGACAATGTTTTTCACATTTAGCTCATTCACTATTAATACACACTCACCAATCATTCTAGCTTAAAATACAGCAATTTTAAACATGCTTGACTGCGTTTTATGCGTTATTCATGTTGTCCTACAAGAATATTTGAGATAAATTCTATGAATATTTGTTACATACTTTTTAAAATAGAAAATGCAATTTAGAAATTTAATTTACTGTAATTGTATTAATAACACAATGTTTATTAGATTTTAAAAAATACATATTGTTGTCGATTAGATAAGTATTGATACACATCCACTTCATGGTAATAATTGAGTAGTCGTTGTGATTGTGATGTTTGTAAAACTAAGCCGTCATTCATAAATTGATGTATCATTTAATGAAATATATGACAATTAATTGGAATAATATTTTACTTAACAAATAGTCAATGAAAATAATGATTAAATGAGAGTCTAATTGAATGTTTTTATTTCATGAATAACTGGACATATAATACAATATTTAATAGAATTACAAAGTATTATACCATTAGATAAAGTACTGGTATATACCGTAAAGTGAATAACAATGAATCGTTATAATTAATCCAATAATAATATAATTAGTGTATAATATAATTAATAATTGAATGGCTTTCCCATTAGCACAATGATTGGAAGCACAAGGCATAGCGTGAAGTAATTGTTTAGACTTTAAAACTATTTTTTCAATCTAATCATCAGTTTTTTTGTTTCATATAATTTGTTAAACAGTTTCAACAATTGGACTAAAGTTTTGTTAATATAGTGTTTGAATTACTTTCAATTTGAGGGCACATATTCTGGTATGTATTTTACGGGCAAATTGTAACATCAATTTAAATATTAATATATAAGTTTCAATAATAATAACTATTAATATTTTAATATATATTATAATAACAATAATATGGCAGTCATTGAAATATCATATTATTTGTGCAAAAGTTTAGGTAAACTTTCATCTGTTTTAGTGTTTGAATTACAGAACATTCTGTAAATATGTTTCAGTAAATGATTTGTTTTAAAGAGTTGTATAAAAAAGCTTTGAAATAAGCGTACGTTTAGGTTGTATTGTATGAATTTGTGAAACCTTTAAAATGCATACATAGAGCAAAACCATCAATAATTGATATAATTATTCAACAGTTTTGCGTTTCTTTGCATTAGTTTATTGTCATTTAGTTTTTAAATTCTCTGTTATTTTGTTTACGAATTGAAAATACTTTTTAAATCCCATAACTAATGGAATTCTAATAATAATATAATATACAGAATATTATTGAATAAAACTTCATTTACAAAACATTTTTTTCAAAAAACAATTTCAAAACTTCTGGTCTATTGGTAAATACCTTCATATTATAGAATCAATAATTATAATCAATTTATAATATAGAGTATCATTTTGTTGATAGATATTTGCATTTGTTTTTATGTAATAACATTGAGCTCTAATTCAATTAATATATCATATGAACCATTAAATTAACTCATTTCCAAAATCATAAGTAAAAACCCAATCAAATACTCAAAACCTGTCGTATTTAGAAAACAAAACTCCGAAAACATGTCAACAATTTAGTGATATATAGATATTTAGATAATTAATTAATATATGTATATATAGTGTCGGAATCGATGAGTAAATAGTATTACTTAACGGTATGTCTGCCTTAGGCAGTACTCATGTACTCAAAAATGATATAATTATTATTAATATTATTATTATATATATATTTAGTTACAAAACATTGACTAATAATACTTAAGACAACAGTAATTGAGATCAAAGGAGAGAACACGAGCTCTTCTCGCGGAATGGGTTCGCCTTCTGGGAGTGAAAGCCCACCAAAAGGTAGTCATCGTTCTCGTGGTCTGCTATGTATTTCTGCAAAGAGCATCACATCATCACTCGAGCGCTTCCAACACATCCCACACATGATATCACACATACCTTGAGGTCTTCGATGGCAACGGAAACGTTGACGCGTTTCAGTGCCGACTCTTTGCGCAACTGTTCCACAACTCGTCGCTGTTGTTGTAGTGAAGACATTGTCTGTAATGACCGCAAAGTAATGAAAACACAATTAGTATATCATATGTGGAGAGAGTGTTTGCGATGTGTTTCGTGTGTTTCGAGGCTTTGATTGTTTGACATTTAAAATTGGTGTCAAATGAGAGTCCAATCTATGCCTCGAATACAACACCAAAACAAGCGTTCATTCATTCAAAGAGTGATTACTTATGAGTCGCCAAACGATTGCCAATTGTGTCACAAATGTTCACAAATTGATTGCAATTCAAACCAAAAGTGATCTTCAATTCAATTAACTGTCGATTCAATTGACAGACAGACCAGTCGTCGCTCAAAATGGCTCATCACTCACACGAAGTACGTCCGGTAAATACACTCAACACGTCATGGCCTATACGGATGGCCCCACAATTGACACACATTCTACCACTAAATATTGCAGTATAAATGTATAAATGCATCAATGTCTCAATTATGCCTAAATATTTTCCTGTATTTTATGTTTTTAATTAAATTTACTTAAAATTCTTACAATTTTTTAAAAATTATACTTTTGCTTAAATTTAAATGCTTTTACAATATATTTATAATTTAATTAATTAAGTATGAAATCATTCAATTTTTATTATTAGTCCAGAATTTGGGTAGGTGTACAGAACTTATATTATAAGCATATTTGAATATTTTAATGCTTTCAAAGTTTTTTTTGCTAAAATATTTATTCCTGTATTTTTCAATGTACAGGAATGACACGTTTCTGTATTTTTTAATTCATTCCCTGATTCCTGTATGTTACTTGTGGCAATTATTGAGCTAATTCTACATCAATATGATATTAATGATACAATTATAATTATGGTCACTTTTTATATCTAGATTTCTTGTTAACGTAATATAAGTTAATTTAAAACTACACTTAATTTATCAATCATTTAAATATTATTTATATACTTTATACATTATGTGGTGTTAAGTATAAGAACCAAATGATAAATTATACATAAATTAATTTTAATATTGATAGTATAGATATAATCAATAAACATTTTAGGTATTTTAACAACACAACACGTATCATATCAAATGACACCATGCTCATTTTTTATTGTCCACAATTATTGCTTGTTTGTAAACATAATTAATATCCATCTTCAGTGCATTTATTTCAGTCAATACATTAGTGTTATTTTAAAGTATATTTAAATTCTAACCTATTTAATATATAATTAATCAAGCTTAAAACAATTGAGTCATATTTTACACTTTACCTATTTGGAATATGAGCCTCATTTCCATCCGCCCACACATTTCATTCTTTAAACATTACATCAAATATATATTTAAATTAAATTTTTTAAACAATAAATTCAGTTGGGGTAGCATTTATATTAGGGAACTAACTAATTATGCTGTTGATTACAACAATGACCAAATATTTGAGTAGACAATTATGGTAAAAGTGGTGTAAAGTGTAGGAATGAATTGCGAACAAATTTGAATGAGAAAATGATATTCTCCTTAATGTATGTTTAGTTGAAGGAAACCACAAACATCTGGAGTACACTATATGTTAGACACTATCAGAACGTGATCTCAATCGAAAGTCTCATAAATTATACTTGTCTTCAGATTACTATCAATTGATGGCTTTAAAGACAAACTAATTATTATTATAAACAACTTTCTTTCGTTTATAATCTCTTGATTTAGTGAACATTTGATAAATCAAACAATACTTTACTGGTTGTCACAATTACAGTATTAACTAACATTTGGTATGATTGCAAAACCATTGCATTTAATGTAGAACTTGTGTTAAGGATATATTTTTATTTATTATTAAATCTTATCACATTTTTTTTGTATTTCATCTATGGATACATAATATTTTGTAGTTATTAAATAAATTTGTGTAAATTTTTTTCTTTTGTTAAACAAATTGCAACAACACTTAAATAGCATTTATTTAATTTTAAAAAAATAAATTTCATATCTATTAGGGATGTATTTACATAATATTAAAGAATATAAATCAAAGTCTATTTAATTGACATATTTATACGTTTGCGAGTTTAGGAAATATTAAATTAAACTAAAGAAACACTTATCCAGTAATAAATTCTTGGTTAAGTTATTTGTCGTGAATTCAGATTCACATAGATTTTTTTGCGTTGAATTTTATGAGTTATTTTATTAAAAGGCAAAACAAAAACTATAAATTACAGAATAAATTTCATTAAAACTTAAACAGGATTTTAATTTATTTTGATAATTAAAACAGTATTTAAAAGGTGGACACTTTATCAAACAGTTGCTTTCACAAAAGGCATCAGTAATAATAATTCAATTAATTAAGTGACATTCATCGGAAATGTCTCGCTATTACAGTTAAAACAATATATGAATGTAATGCTGTACTGAAATGTCATTTTCCTGCCATTTGTGTGCCGTTTCTGACTATATCTTTGAAAAATGAGGCATAAAAATGAAAAGAGTGGACAAAAATGGATTTATACTCAAATACACTACAAATATGGCTTATTTAATGTCCCAAAAGTAAAGTGATGTTCAAATCTGCTGTCAAATCTCTATATTTTGTATCATTTCCCAAGTTCATTTTAAAAATTGTATCCTACTAACAGTTATATGCTGAATACACATTTATAGCTAATTTTATTACATGATACAATTTATATCTACATTTATATAACATTTATAAAAATACATCAAACTAATTGTATTAAATTTAACTTATATTTACCACAAAAATAAAAAGCTTTAATGGTTTTAAAATTATGGTATTAAACTAAATGATTGACAAAGTTGTAGAAAATTTAAATGATGTATGTAAATTACTTATATTTGACAAACGAATTCTAAAAATATAGATTTCACCTGTAAAAGTAAACTTGCTTTGAATTATGGTTAAAAACATTTCGATTTTTAAAATTAATAGACATCTCAAAATAAGTGATAAAACGACATGTTTTTTCGGTTATGTCCCATAAATTGAAGGATAAGAGACGGAAATTGAGTGAAAAAACATTAATTTAACATTAGATTCACTGGAAGTGGTATAATATTTGTAAGTTTTAACTAGAAATGGATACAATGATAAAAATGGACCATGATAAACTGGGCATAAACTTTTGACTCTATAATCCAAATTTGTAGTAAAACATGAAGCCTAAAATAATTTTCCATTTAATGAGTTCTAACACTAAAAATAATTAAAAACTTTGAAAAATGAATCGCTTCTGTTGTGCGACAGAAGTTTGCCATCAAATAAACAGTTAGTCTTCATTTGAATGTATGAATGAATTTATGATAACAAGTATTTCATACTGAATATGAGAAGAGTGTCAAAAAGAGCAAAGAGTGAAAGACTAAAGGGTGTGAAGAGGAATTCAGGCTCAATGAATTAAAACAAGGACACCGTCGGCATCTAAAAAGCACTACTTCTCTTATAAAAGCTCTCTCTCTCTCTCTCTCTCTCTCTCTCTCTCTCTCTCTTCAGATGTTGTGCTCAACGACTCGCAGTTTGTGGACCATAGAGTGAGTGAGCATATCATTTGAGCGAACAATCATTAGGGGTTTAAGTATCTCAACAGAAATTGTTTGTTTCGTTTATCAATGTATGAAAAAAGCTCTTTTTGTCTCTGGATTTGTATTTATGGCTACAATTGAATGCATTAGAAGTGTTGTATGTCTTCAGCACTTGACTCAAGAATTTCCAGCAGATGTATGAAATTATATGTCATTTATTACGAGTCTAGAGGTTCTTCGAGTGTACAGCCATTTCTGCCAAAACTTTTATGACAATTACTCTTTGAATGAATTTCTTTTATTTGTGGCGTTAATCCGTAACTACAGATGTTTTGTTTGATAAATGTCTTGTTTATTCAATTCTGACTAATATTCGGCCAAAAAATAGATTTCCTTTTGAAATAACACGACAATAAATTCACAATTAATAAGTTATTTGCCATCACTTCCATCGGATTCAATAGTTTGTGAACAATTCTAACGGAATTGGATTTTCTTAACATAGTTTCATAACCATTTGAATGTAACATAACTCGTATCTATAACTATTGTAATTCTTCTTATAATGATTATGTATTTCTTTACGACAAACAGTTATTCTTATCGATAAGTTTTATATCTTCCGACTGTTAAACAGATAAAATTAGGTTAAGTTACAATTAATTATATAAAGCATAACGGTAATATTTTTACATTGAAATAATACTCAAACACTCGTCGGTGAAAAAGTCTATATTTTGAAATATTTTACTTTTCCAAACTGAATATTAAATTTATTTTCAATAAAACAAATTTAAACAAAAATTTCAGCATTTAATAATATATACAAACACTTTGTTGTGTAAAACACCGTTTTCTTTAATTATTTTTATTATGAAAACAAATAAAAGTTTTTTGTGTAAAAGGATTTTATAAGTTTACAATCAATAGTAAAATGTTTTATTACTTTTAGAATATATTTTGTTAACAATATTTCTTTGTTGTTAAACAAATATTTTTCAACGCAAACAAATGTTATAAATATGTATTTGATGGCAAAAACTAATTTAGACGTCTTTTTGTATTATCTCTTAAATCAATATTTGCTAAAAATTATATTTGGGATAAAAATTGATATTTTTTATATTTATAAAAATATGTTTTATATTATAAATTGACAAACAAAAGACCAATTCATTGAATTATACGTTCAAATTTATTACCATAGGTATACATATTTTTTGGTAATAAATATTTTAATTATTGTGTTTTAACGCTATTATTAAATTAATGCCATAATAATTATTATCCTTATTTATTACATACCGTAACTAATTTTTCATAAATAATATTTCATTTTTTGTTAATTAATAATTAAATATTTAATTTTATAATAATATTTGCAGTATTATAAATTATAATAGATATAACATGGATGAATTACTTAAATAATTAAAATAATATAATTATAACATAGTAATTTATATAAATAAAGACATTACAGAATATACAGAATTTATATTTATATGTGAAGTATTTTTGATATTCTAATTGGATTGATGTTAACTCTATTTTGAACAATGATTTAATAATAATTTAACAAAAAAGTCGGTTTTGTATAAAAGATTAATCTTGATTTTTGCATTTAATAAATATATTCCTGTAAAACATGTGAAATAGCTTGAGATGAGGTCATCCGGAATATTCTCAACATTAGTATTAATCTTCATTATTATAATAGAATAAATTTAGTGCAAAAATAAATGATTAAGATTTATATTTCACAAAATTTATATTCTTTCATAACGAGTGAATAATATTATTAAATATCAAATATTATTCACACTTTTTTACATTATAATCAATAAATTCTTGTCAATTCAAAATACAATGCATATACAGTATATATATAGTCATCTAATACTGTATTACTAGAAATTCTGTATATTTTATTGCTAAACATTTTAATAGTAAGAAGAGAGGAATGGATATAAATTCATGATTACATATATTTTATGTAATATTTGCATAAATATTATATATTTTATACATTCCATACAAAATGCATTGTATAGTTGAGTACTATATATACACTGGTATTACTATTTATGTATTACATTAAAAGAATTTCAATTTCAAAAACTTTTATTACAGTATGATATGAAAGTCATTTTATTGTATGAATAAAAAAGAAATTCTTTAAGAATTAAATTTGTCCCTCAAATGCCTGAAGGGTTTACTATTCATTTGCTTAACGGCTTTACTCTAAAAACAACACTAAATTAAAATTAATTTCATATTTTTATGGGCTTTAACTCTAATGCATTTCTAGATATAGTTTTGCATGCATTTAGATTTATTGACACGATTTTCTTTGCAATGATTGCAAGCTTTGCAATAATATGTTATGATATAACAAAAGTCTTTGCATTATTCCTTAACCTCTAATTTCTAATAACTGTTTGCAAAGCGTTTGCATTTGGTTTGAAAACGCAATACAAATATCATTCTCCATAATAAACACATTTACATAAAAAGTATGGAATTTGTTTAAAATATATATTTCAAAGCCAT